ACTCCTGCCTGGGTGACAAGAGCAAAATTCTGTCTCAAAAAAAAAAAAAAAAAAAAAAGTTCATGAAAGTCTTCATTTTATACAAAAGCAGGTCAATTAGCTTAGCGTAAGGGAGCCTTTAATATGTTTAGCGAATAAATGAAGGAAGGAGAGAAATGTTTGAGAGGGCAAAAAAAGATAAAAAAACGTGAGAGAGTTGAGGTAAAAAAACGGAGAGAGGAAAATGAAATGAGACAGAGCCAGAATAAACAGGGTATGTGAGAATCTGAGAAGTATGAGGAGGTTGGAGGGTAGTAGGAAGATTGGGAGGAAACTGGGCAGGGTGGGTGGGGAAAGTGCAGTGTGCACCTAAGAAGGGGAAAGAAAGAGTAATTGCTGATGCTGGGTTCCAAGGAGACTGGACACAAGGCGCAAAGGTAAACGAAAAGACAAGGAGTGGGCTGGGTGTAGTGGCTCATGCCTGTAATCCTGCACTTTAGGAGGCGGGGGTGGGGGGATTGCTTGAGTTCAGGTGTTCGAGAGCAGCCTGAGCAACACGGTGAAACCCCTTCTCCACCAAAGATACAAAAACTTTAGCTGGGCGTGGTGGTGTGCACCTGCGGTCCCAGCTACTGGGGACGCTGAGGCGAGGTGATCGCTTGAGCCCGGGAGGCGAGGCTGCAGTGAGCTGAGATTTGCACCTCTGCACTCCAGCCTGGGTAACACAGACCCCTCCCCTCTCAAACAAACAAACAAACAAAAAAGACAAGGAGTAAAATAGGGAGCTCCAAAGCAGGAAAGGCAGGAAGGGGAGATGACCAAAGATGAAGGAGGAAGGAGCAAAAGGCTGGAAGGGGTGCCAGGAGGAAGGAGGGAGCAACGCTTTGGGGAGACAGAGCAAAACTGCAGGGTGAGGGACCATGGACGACCACCTTAGAGAGCCAGATTATAGGGAGGACGGAACAGTGAGGGCGTGAGGGTGTGCACAGCAATAGGCAGTGCTCGGGAGGGAAAGAGAAACGGGCGAGTGTGGGGGAGGGATGGGAAAGGTGGAGGATAGGTCTGAAAAGACTTTAAGGGAGGGGAACGATGGGTGTGGCCAAGACTCTGACCTAGCCCTCACCCCGCTCCCCACCCTCGGCCGGCTTTCGGTCCCAGTGGTTTCTTCCTCCAGTTAGGATCCTTGATGCCGGAGGGGCTAGTGGTAGGTGGGGAGGTTGAGTGCAAAGGGTTCAGGCTGTAAGTCATGTCGGGTTGGAATGGGGGCACAGGCAGGTGGGGCTGTTGGGGAGCCACGCTCAGAAGCCGGGTGTCTGTAGCAGAGCCAGAGAACCGGGACCGTGAAGCGGGTGCTGAAGGGGGCGACTCTCAGGGATCGGGCCAGGGTCCCCGAAGGTGGGATCGACTAGGGTAGGAGACAGAAAAAAAAGGAGAGCAGCGGGTGAGGGCGAAAGCAGGGCCGGGGAGAGAGCACTTTGGACAGAACCCGGCCGGGAAAGGGCGGCGCCGAGGCTGGTCAGGGGCGCCCCGCAGCGTCCCAGGCGCACCTGTTGGGAAGAAGGGAAGGGGCATCCCGGTGTTCGAGGGAAATCCAGTCCGGAGGGGCTGATTCGGAGCTTGGGACTCCCGGGGAGCCACCGCCTCCTCCCCAGCGGCGGTCAAAACCGGGCAAGCGAAGGGGCGTGACCCTGGTGCTCAGGTTTCTTCCTCCTCACCTGGGCAAGGAGGGGTGGGGGCCACGACTTCCGGTTCAGGTGAGTGTCCCTTCGGTGACGTCAGGTCACCCTCGGCCGCCCCTCCGGTCCCGCCTTCCCCTCCCGCGCTCCCGGGGCCCGCGGGCCGCGCCCCCGACGCCCTACATATACTCAGGTGCGCCCCACCTGTCCGCCCGCACCTGCTGGCTCACCTCCGAGCCACCTCTGCTGCGCACCGCAGCCTCGGACTAACAGCCCAGGATACTTTGGGACTTGCCGGCGCCCAGAACCGCGCCCAGACGGCCCCTCCACCTTTTGTTTGGCTAGGGTCGCCGAGAGCGCCGGAGGGAACCGCCTGGCCTTCGGGGACCGCTTTTGTCTGGAACCACCCTCCCGGCGGATCCTATTCCCTCTGCTGCGAGGCCTTCGCTTCACTGGAGGGGTCGATTTGTGTGTACTTCGGTGACAAGATTTGCATTCACCTGACCCAAACTCTTTTTGTCTCTTTGGGTGACCGGAAAACTCTACCTCAAGTTTTCTTTCGTGGGGCTGCCCCCCAAGTGTCGTTTGTTTTACTGTAGGGTCTCCCGCCCGGCGCCCCCAGTGTTTTCTGAGGGCGGAAATGGCCAATTCGGGCCTGCAGTTGCTGGGCTTCTCCATGGCCCTGCTGGGCTGGGTGGGTCTGGTGGCCTGCACCGCCATCCCGCAGTGGCAGATGAGCTCCTATGCGGGCGACAACATCATCACGGCCCAGGCCATGTACAAGGGGCTGTGGATGGACTGCGTCACGCAGAGCACGGGGATGATGAGCTGCAAAATGTACGACTCGGTGCTCGCCCTGCCCGGTAAGGCCGCGGGACCGACGGGGCGGACGCGCCCCGGACCGAGGTGGCGGGGTGGCGCGCGTGGGAGAGCCGAAGCCCCACGCTGGGCGCCCTGGGTTGCCGGGGAGCTGCAGGACGAGGAAGTGGTCGGGTGGGGGCGGCGAGGCTGGGCGGGGGCGGGCCGGGGTTCTGGCGGCTGCACGTGGGCGCGCACCTCGGTCGCCCACGGTCCTCTTCCGCCCCCCAACCCAGCCTAGTCCCTGGCTCCGAGCAGCGGTTCTTAGGCCGGAGCCGTCCCCTCCCCAATCCCTGGGCAGGCCACGGCCTCCGTCATCTCCCGCCCTTTTCTCAGACAGAAACGACCCCGGGGCGCGGGGCACCGGGCGCGCCGAGGGCCGAAGGGCGGTGCGGCTGGTCACAGTGGGCCGCCGCCTGCGGCCTCTAATCTTATCGGCCGATTAGCCGAAGCCACAAACCCGGTGGCCTCGATAGCGGCTCAGAGCAGGGCCGCCGGCTGGCATGTGCGCCGCGCGGGGCTCGGGCCACCGTCTGGGGTTCCTTTCGTTGCCCCTTCCACCCTTCCCCCTATACAGGGCAGTTTCACCGAAACCCCGGCGCCCCGGGCGGATCCTTGAGCGGAGAGGGCGGGGCGGGAGCAGGAAGGCCGCGCTGTTGGGAGGGGCGGGGACCTGCCCGTTTGGCCCAGGCCTCGGACACCTGGGCGCCCCTGGCCCGCGGCAGAACACGGCGCCGGACAGACGGGGTCCAGGGGTTAGTGGGCGCGGCCGGCTGCACGAAGGCTGGAGCCACCTGCATTTCCAGCAATGACGGCGCCCTTTCCCCTCGCCCGCAGCGGCTCTGCAGGCCACTCGAGCCCTAATGGTGGTCTCCCTGGTGCTGGGCTTCCTGGCCATGTTTGTGGCCACGATGGGCATGAAGTGCACACGCTGTGGGGGAGACGACAAAGTGAAGAAGGCCCGTATAGCCATGGGTGGAGGCATAATTTTCATCGTGGCAGGTGAGCCCCAGGGTTCTCCCATCTGGGAGGAGCGAGGCTGGGCAAGGTGCCCGTTTCGGGTCGCACTATACCGAAACCCTCATTCTCTCTCCAGGTCTTGCCGCCTTGATAGCTTGCTCCTGGTATGGCCATCAGATTGTCACAGACTTTTATAACCCCTTGATCCCTACCAACATGAAGTAAGGCTGGGAACCCTGCCTCCTAAGGGGACAGGTCTGGGGTCCCGGGATAGGGAGGAGGGCAGAGGCAGGTCAGGGTTTCTAACCACCCCTTTCTCTTCACAGGTATGAGTTTGGTCCTGCCATCTTTATTGGCTGGGCAGGGTCTGCCCTAGTCATCCTGGGAGGTGCACTGCTCTCCTGTTCCTGTCCTAGGAATGAGAGCAAGGCTGGGTACCATGCACCCCGCTCTTACCCTAAGTCCAACTCTTCCAAGGAGTATGTGTGACCTGGAATCTCCTGGCCCCAGCCTGAAAGGCTGTGGGCGTGTCTAGATGCCTGAAAGGGCCTGGGGCTGAGCTCAGCCTGTGGGCAGGGTGCCGGACAAAGGCCTCCTGGTCACTCTGTCCCTGCACTCCATGTATAGTCCTCTTGGGTGGGGGGTGGGGGGTGTTGGTGGGAGAGACAAAAAGAGGGAGTGTGTGCTTTTTGTACAGTAATAAAAAGTAAGTTTTGGGAAGCAGGCTTTTTTCCCTTCAGGGCCTCTGCTTTCCTCCCGTCTGGATCCTCGCAGGGAGCTTGGAACCTTACTGCACCTACTTCAGTTCAGAACACTTAGCGCCCCAGTGGCCTGCACACCATTCCTGGCCCCCAGACTCCATTGACAATAGACTAAAAGATGCAGGTGCTTGTATCTTGACATCCATTCCCACCCCCCTTATTTAAATAGCTACCAAAGTATTTCTTTTTTAATAAAAAATAAAGATTTTATTAGGTACAGGGATGTTCTACTCTCACATTATCCCATGTCTTCATCCTACCTTCTGTCCTGATGAGACGCTGCTTCCTGGCTCACACAGCAGGGATCCATAGACAAGGGGAACCAAGGTGGGGTAGGGACAGGGTAAGGCTAACACAAACAAGAGAAAGATGGTTCTGGGCCCAAAGTCTTCCTGCGCCCCCTCCAATTACAATCTAATCAAATCTGACCAGTCAAATATCTAGGTCGTCATCTGGGTCTTCTTGGTCCAGGTCATCATAAGCATCTGGCTCATAGAAGATGTGGCTGGTAGCCTGGCCTGGCCTAGGCCGCAGGAGAGCCTGCTGTCTGAGAAGGGAAGATTTGGTGCTGGTGAGGGTAGCTGACAGGTTGGGTCTGGATACTTTCTTTCAGGTGACTGTGACTCTCATTCAGGCAACCTGTTAGGCCTCCATGTCATTTTCTTGGTCCAACTCCCTTTCTCTCACCTCCATGTTAGAGCTGAAGCACCATTTGGTACTGGAATAGATACCCTTGTACAGCTCTCCTAATAAAACCGTAAGTTCCTAGCAGCTTGGGGGCAAGGATCTTGTAGTCTTGCTTCATCCACCCACACACTGGGCACAGAACAGCAGGCATGCACTAAGCCCTTGTTAACCAGCCTTTGCCACGCCCATATAGCCTTCTGTCCTCCTAGCACCACTGCCTAGGGATAGGGCCACCTCCCAAGGGTCTGGTCTGGCTCAGCCCAGGCCCAGGGTGCTCTGGGGACAACTGGAGCTGTGACCCAAGGGTCTAAGGGAGAGAAAAGAGACATAAAGGCCCTCGGCCATTGTAGGGGGAATGGGTGGATCAAGAACTTGGACTTGTCTCTGGAGGTGGACTTCAGCCCCTATAAAGTCAGGTTAATCTATAACCTGCTGTTGCCCCACCTCTCCGTGGCCCAGATGCTGGGCTCTACTCAGGGATCCACGTACCCAGGTCCCGACCTTACTTTTCAGAGCTGAACTGGAAGGGCAGGATCAGGCTATCTCTGGCTTCTCTCTCTTTCTTGGACAGGTGAAGGTTAAAGGTCAAATGAGTTGTGGGATCCACCTGTAGGTACAAAGGATGCTGCCACTCTGCCCCATCCCTAGAATCCCTGACCCCACCCCCAACCTCTGCAGCTTTTATTCTCTCCCCTTTGACCAGACCCTAAACTACATTTCCTTGTTCTGGCCCTGGCATTCTTAGATACCGGGGGTATATGAGGATTGGAGCAGGGCTGGGACTCTACAGAGGGTCCCTCTTGGAGATCCAGGCTGAAGTCTGGAAGTATGGAGAACCACTGAGTCTGGAGAGAAAAAAGAAAAGAGGTTTTTTCATCTTACTGAAGAAACTACAGAGACTCTAGGACCTCACATCCTCAGCCCCCAATCACCTATTTCACTGCTTTCAGCCCCTGCCCTCAACTTTTAATTTTTTCTTGAGACAGGGTCTGGCTTTGTTGCCCAGCCTGGAGTACAGTGGCGTGATCTTGGCTCACTGCAACCTCCACCTCCCAGGTTCAAGTGATTCTCCTGCCTCAGCCTCTCGAGTAGCTGGGATTACAGGCGCGTACTACCACGCCCGGCTAACTTTTGAATTTTTAGTAGAGATAGGGTTTCTCTGTGTTGGCCAGGCTGGTCTGGAACCACTAATCTCAGGTGATCTGCCCACCTCGGCCTCCCAAAATGTGGGGATTATAGGTGTAAGCCACTGTGCCCAGCCTCTATTTTATTTTCAAAAGTGAAAGCAAGTTTATTAAGGAAGTAAAGGAATAAAAGGATGGCTACTCCTTAGGCACAGCAGCCCCACTTACTCTTTTTTTGAGACAGAGTCTCACTCTGTTGCCTAGGCTGGAGTGCAGTGGCATGTTCCTGGCTCACCTCCACCTCCGCCTCCCAGGTTCAAGTGATTCTCCCGCCTCAGCCTCCTGAGTAGCTGGGACTACAGGCACCCACCACTATGCCCAGCTAATTTTTGTATTTTTAGTAGAGACGAGGTTTCATCATGTTGGCCAGGTTGGTCTTGAACTCCTGACCTCAGGTGATCTGCCCACCTCTGCTTCCCAAAGTGCTGGGATTACAGGCGTGAGCCACCTTGCCCAGCCCCACTTACTTTTTTTTTTTTTTTGAGGAGTCTCACTCTGTTGCCCAGGCTGGAGTGCAGCGGCATGACCTTGGCTCACTGCAGCCTCTGCCTCCCGGGTTCAAGTGATTCTCTTGCCTTAGCCTCCAGAGTAGCTGGGACTACAGGTGTGCGCACCATGCCCGGCTAATTTTTGTATTTTTAGTATAGATGGGATTTCACCATGTTGGCCAGATTGGTCTCAAACTCCTGACCTCACGCAATCTGCCTACCTTGGCCCCCCAAAGTGCTGGGATTACGGGCGTGAGCCACCTTGCCTGGGTCCCACTTACACTTTATAATCTTGGTAAGTGACTTAAATTTAAACCTCCCTGGGCCGCGTGCAGTGGCTCACACCTGTAATCCCAGCACTTTGGGAGACCAAGGCCAGAGGATGGCTTGACCCCAGTAATTCAACACCAGCCTGGGCAACAGGGTGAGATCCCACCTATATAAAAAACTAACAAGCTGGCTGGCTGTGGTGCTACGTGCCTGTGTTCCCAGCTCCAGCTACACCAGAGGCTGAGGCAGGAGGATCACTTGAGCATGGGAGGTCAAAGCTGCCGTGAGCTATGATTGCACTACAGCACACCAGCCCGGGTCACAGAATGAGACCTTGTCCAAAAAAAAAAAAAAGAAAAGAAACAAGGAAAAACAACCCCTCCCTGTACTGGCTTTCCCACCTGAAAAACTGTGATAATAAAACAATCTACCTTACACCATAGCTGAGAAGATTAAATGAGGTAAGTGATGGAAAACACAGAGAGATACCCAATCAGCTTTTTTTTAAAAAAGATCTCCCTGAGGGCCAGGCACACTCACTCACATCTGTAATCCTAGCACTTTGGAGGCTGAGGTGGGAGGATCACTTGAGCCCAGGAGTTTGAGACCACCCTGACCAACACAGTGAAACCCCATCTCTAAAAAAAGTTTGTTTTTAAAGTCTCCTTGAAATACCAGCATTTTCATTGTTCTTCCCATCGTGCCACTCCTTTCTCTGCCCCCAATTTCTAGTCCTTCCCTGTTGGTTCTTCTGACCTGGTCAGTTGGGCGCTGTCGGGGCCTCCGACACAGGATGTGGGCCGAGGCCTGGCCCTTTGTACCGCCCAGGGTCACCTCAGTCTGCGCAAGGCTGCTGAGAGCTCCCACAGGGCCTGGTCCGTGAAGCTCTTCATGTAGCAAGCCCAGCACACTCACTTTCCCCACCGGGGAGCTGTCACCTAGAGACGGACAAGAAATGTAGGATAGTAGGGAGCATTCAGGTTGGTGGCCTGGGAGCAAACAGTGAAAAGGAGAGAGCCCCACAATTCCATCACAGTGCTGCCAAAATCCTGACTTCCCTTGGCCAATCTCACTACTGTGCTCTGAGCCTCCTCCAGCCCACACCTTAATCTCCTCTATTATCCCCGTGTAAAGCTGATCAAGGCACCGCTCTAACTTCTATCCTTCAGCAGCTCCTCCGCCTTCAGGATGGAATGAACACTTCTAGCAGGTGGTGTCCACTTACTTTCTAGCCTCATCTCTTACACACGGAAGTACTTGTAGTTTCTGGAACTTCCCAAGATCTCAGTCAGTGCCTTTAGAGAGTGTCAGGCACTATGCTAAACGCTTTAACACAATGTTTGAATCCTTACAAAGGTCAGCATTTTTAGGTTAAACCATATGAAATCACTGACATTTAACAATTTTTTTCTTTTTTTTTTGAGACGGAGTCTAGCTGTCACCCAGGCTAGAGTGCAGCGGCGCAATCTTGGCTCACTGCAACCTCTGCCACCCGGGTTCAGCAATTCTGCCTCAGTCTCCCGAGTAGCTGGACTACAGGTGTGTGCCACCACGCCTGGCGAATTTTTGTATTTTTAGTAGAGACGGGGTTTCAGCATCTTGGCCAGGCTTGTCTTGAACTCCTGACCTCATGATCCACCTGTCTCGGCCTCCCAAAGTGCTGGGATTACAGGCGTGAGCCACCATGCCTGGACTGTTTTTAGTTTTTATTTTTTGAGATGAAGTATTTCTCTGTCACCCAGGCTGAAGTACAGTGGTGTGATCTCAGGTCACTGCAACCTCTGCCTCCTGGGTTCAAGCGATTCTCCTGCCTCAGCCTCCCCAGTCCCAAAGTGCTGGGATTACAGGTGTGAGCCACCATGCCCAGCCAATATTTAACAATTTTTGATCTAAGAAATGGCAATATAGTGGTTTATCCTAATACTTCCCTTGTACCTTCCCCCATATACAGCGGAGAGTGAAGCAAGTGAAAGTCAAGCACCTTAATACAAAGCTGAGCGTCTGACTCCTAAGTCCATTCGAGTACCCACAGTGCACTTCAGGGCTAGTCCCAGTGCCCCTGCCCGGCCAAATCTGCCTGGCTGACCGCTTGCTCTTCAAAAGTGCCTTTATTTTTTGACACGGACTCTCGCTGTATCACCCAGGCTGGAGTGCAGTGGCGCGATCTCGGCTCACTGAAAGTTCCGCCTCCCAGGTTCATGCCATTCTCCTGCCTCAGCCTCTCAAGTAGCTGGGACTACAGGCGCCTGCCACCAGGCCCAGCTAATTTTTTTTGTATTTTTAGTAGAGATGGGGTTGCACCGTGTTAGCCAGGATGGTCTCGATCTCCTGACC